TCCAACTCTCATTAAAACTCTAGCAGCAGCATTTTGGATTAACTGAAGACTTCTTAAAGAGTTTTTTGGATGCCCAGCTTGTTTGTTTTATCCAAATTCAATGATAACTTAAGTTGAAAGCAAGTTTGTATAAGTTCTGTTTATGTCACCTCCAAGTTCAATACAAGTTCAATRTTTTCACCAGAACAAAAAGTGTGGTGTCACTAGCAAACAAAAATAAATTTTAAAGGTTTTGACACATTGACCAAATTATTCTCACACAAAATAAACATTTTGTGGTCCAAGCACAGAACCTTGATTACTCCAAGCTAATATTTCTTAATTCATTTCTTACATTATTTTTCTGCACAAAATGTTTCCTATTACTCAGATAACTAGACACCCACTGTAGTGGTTATACTCTAACGCCATATTCAACTTTTCAATAAGAATGTTGTGGTCAGTTGTTTCAAAAGCCTTCTTTAAATCAACAAAAACACTAACAGTAACAGTTTTATTTGGCAGCAGTTATCCTTTCAATAAATTCCATGAGAGCCATTGACGTTGAATTATTTGTTCTAAACTCACACTGACTACTACCTAAAGTGTTCTGTTTTTCAATAAAATATCTTACCTGCTTACAAATAATTTCTCTAAAATGTTTGAAAACTGTGGCAACAAGTTTATCTATTTACTTAAGTATGATAATGAAGTACTTGTACTTTGTTACTTTACAACTCTGTGATACGATCTATGATGTGTTTTATACACGGATGCTGAAAAGCATAACAGGTAAAACAAATAAGGTCAGTATGCATCATCACACCATTAGTCACACACCAAGCAGACTCATATTAAAGAGTTTCAACATTTTGTGGAACTCTAAGCTTTTGATCAGGGGAAAAAGCTTTTTTTCCCCGTGTGTCCTGGCGATATGACATCCATATTCTGCTGGAATGGATGCTATAATAGCATCGTTAAGAGTTAATTAAGGTATTAACTGTGTTATTAATGAGAACGATGAAAGCAGATGGGACTCCCATTCATCTCCAGGAGTAAAGAAAGGAGTACAGGATAGCTGTCCTGCAGGTGCCTTATTAAAATTTAATCATGGCTTGGCTCTTTAGCTATTCTGCTAATGGTGTGGATGTGCTCAGGAAATGATAGATGGGTCCTTTGAAGTGTCACATCACTGTTGAGTCATACTTTTAAAGAGGGAGTCTCAGTGACTAAATTGAAGATAATATCCCTTAAGTAAAGCTCTCCAGCAGAAGCACTGAACAACCAGCAGATGGAGACAAATCATGTGTGTCTGCTGCTCTGATGTGTGAGGGTTGGTGCAGGATTGAAGCCAGAATGCAGACACATAAAATAACAGGTGGATAAACTGAAGAAGGAAAAAAACACTCAGGCAGTAAAATCTTCATCGATACACAAAGGAACCAGGAAAAAGAAGTACAATGAATCTGCTGATATTTAGGTGAAAGGAGACTAAAAGACTGATGAGGGATGAGATCAGGCTGCTGAATCAATTAAGAGTAGCAACAGGTGTGAGTGGTGATTGACTTGGAAAAATACAGAGAAGCTGACTGAGGGAGAGATGATGAATAATAAACAGAAGAATCCTCAAGAACAAAAACTTAAAATAGGAACTTAGCAAAACGAACCATAATCATAAAAACAACAAAAACATAAGGATCCTGACTGTTTACATTTCATTTCACTGACATGTAAATCATTCTGCTGCTGACAGAGAGCTGAAGAGTTTCTGTTGCTTTTAGAAACCATGAACAGCAAAATTCCATAAACACATTTTGGCAAAAAAAATCTACTTGAAACAATGCTAATTTTTAGGGAAGTCATTAGATGTGTTTAAGAAGATTCAAAATGAAAACTGTTGCAGACTTGTTAAATGTTCTATCTATTATTTTTAATTGCATTAATTCACTGACTAATTATTTTTTTTCATTCTAAACATCTTATTTTCCTTCAAAAATCATAATCCACTTGATTTTCTGTCCGTCCATTTTCTTCTGCTTATCCGAGATCGGGTCGCGGGGGCAGCAGCCTAAGCAGAGAGACCCAGACTTCCCTCTCCTGGCGTTCCCAGGCCAGCCGAGAAACATAGTCCCTCCAATGTGTCCTGGGTCTTCCCCTGGRTCTCCTCCCAGTGGGACATGCCCGGAACACCTCACCAGGGAGGCGTCCAGGAGGCATCCTAACCAGATGARCCACCTCWACTGGCTCCTCTCGACGTGGAGGAGCAGCGGCTCTACTCTGAGTCCCTCCCAGATGACTGAGCTTCTCACCCTATCTCTAAGGGAGAGCCCAGACACCCTGCGGAGGAAACTCATTTCAGCCACTTGTAGCCACGATCTCGTTCTTTCAGTCACTACCCAAAGCTCGTGACCATAGATGAGGGTAGGAACGTAGACCCACTGGTAAATCGAGAGCTTTTCCTTCGGCTCAGCTCCTGCTTCACCACGGCAGACCGGTACAACACCCGCATCACTGCAGATGCAGCATCAATCTGCCTGTCGATCTCTCTCATTTCTTAAACAACCATGTGGAAAGATGCATCCTGTGGTCGTGGAAAAGTAGGGATGTCCCGATACAACTTTTTCACTTCCGATATTACAACTTTGAGAATTGTCCGATACTGATATACTGACCGATACCGATATTGACTGATAACGATATTGACCCATTACCATAACAAGTCACACTTTTACCTATTTTGTAGTGTAAAATCTTAGAAAAGTCTTGATCAGGTCAAACAGTGAAAAAGAGTAGGTATGAGAAAAACTGACCCATTTATTTTTAACCAATGGATCACATACATTTTAAACTGAAGAACATTATACAATTTAATAAAATAAATTATAATACCCTGAAAAATAAAACATAATCAAAACAGAATGTTATTTTAAAGTATAAAATAACAATTCAAAATCACTTTGGTTATTGTTTTACTACCTGTCAGCCTGGTGCTGCTTTATGGTGGAAAAAACTGAAGGTGGGGACAAAACAAAAVCCCACATTRTTGTCTGTTCAAAGTTAAGAGTCCACAGCTCCARTTTTACTGACTGTAACYAAAACAACRTGATCATTGCACTTAATTTTCACTCAAACAAGTGTGTAAACAGATTAAACATCACTCTAATAACAAGATCAAAAACATAAATAGTAAGAATTTGTCAGTTATTTACAGTAAATTGATAGCTACCTTTCTTACTGCTGCATTTTCTGAGCATCGTGTGGAGATCAGCCTCTGGGTCCTGCAGGGAGCAGTTTTTTATCACTGCTCTCGTCATGTTGTGCTCATATTCCAAAACAAAAGCTGCGCTCTCCTTTCTTCTGTTTATCAATCCCAGAGCTAATCCATGGGATGTCAAAACTGTAAGCGTGCTGTTCTCGCTTCTGCCAGCTTAGAACCACCGACCGGACCAAAGAGGAAGTTCCGAAATAGCACGGCTGTGTGCGGTCATTGGACCGAGGCTGAACGAACCGAGCCAAACCGCAAAGCTGCTGCCAGGGTGGAGAGTAGTTGTCGCTCTGGATTAAAACATTCACGGTTCTGTTCCCCCTCAGAAAATTTGTGCGTGACAACTTTGCACTTAGCTGCAAATCTGTTTTAGATGAAAATAAAAAGTACTGCCAACATTCTTGCTAACTTGTTAGCGCAGCATGTTGTTGCGATAACATGAGCTCTGCATGCCGGATCCAAGCGCTGCTGGATAGAAACGCTGGAGTGGAGTCAGTGAACTGCTGGAACGGACTGCTAATATCGGAGCACTTATATCAGATATTTTTTATGCAGGCCGATAAAATCCGATACTCGTTTTTTGGCTGATATCGGACCGATATCCGATATCAATATCGGATCGGGACACCCCTATGGAAAAGATGTCAGTCTGATTGAGAAGAGTCAGATCATTGGCATCAAGCAGAGAAAACATATAAGGATATTACAGAAACTCCTAACATTGGGTTGAGAACTGTCCAACACATTATTAAAAACTGGGAGGATAGTGAGGACCCATCATCCTCAAGGATGTTCCCATCAGGCAGTGCTATGATGTGGGGCTGCTGCAGTTGGTCAGTTATCCAAACAATGCCACAGTGAAATGTGTCGTAATCAGCGCTAAAGGTGGACCAACTAAATTTGAGAGTGTGACCTTTTTTTTTATTTTATTTTTTTTATTTTTGGCCAGGCAGTGTATTTGCAATATATTGTGCAGCCCTACTTTGGACACACGTGGTGGTGCAAGCTCTGAGAAATAAATTTGAAGCTGAGTTTTAACTTAATCTGTTTAATTTGACATTAATATTAATTAATTAATATTAATATTAATTAACATTAATATTCTGTGGTATTTTAATACAAAGTTAAAGGAATGAGATGGATGCAGTAAGAAGAACATTGAGTAACTGTATGAAGCACGCTGATTTCTGATCAAACTCTGCAACAATTTGCCATATACTGTAAAAACAAGTAGAAAAATACGACATTAGAGTCTGAATCTTCTCAAAAAATTAAAATGTGAGTAAAAATTTCCAGGCTAATAATCCAACACATTCGGGTCATGCTCAGTATATCTGTGAAAATACGTCTTGTCTGATAAAAGATTGTAAGACTTGGTGAGATGGACAAGTTTTGCAACAAAGTGCCAGTTTCTCAGAAACAATAACARATTTGATAAGATTCACTTTAAACCAGATCAGGACCAGATTAGTTTCAGAGGATGTGTTACTATGGAAACATGTGTGCCTCCTCTTTTGTGCAACTGAATTTAGCATTAATGCATGTTTACTCCGAAATCTCAGCTTAATCCCTTATCCTATTTTCCTGCAGTAGGCCCCCAGAATGACTAAACAGTGAAGTTATTGGTGTAGAAGAATTTTTGTGTGTATGTGTGTGTATGTTTAAGATCTTTGTTTATTTTTGGTAACTATTGTACTCGTTCTCTTTTCTTTCACATTTAGTAGCAAATTCACTTTTATATTTCCAATTTCCAACTTAACTTCTTATCAGATTTATACATAGATGTGAATACAACAGCAAGCATAATGTAGGTCAGTATACATAGTTTCTTCAGTATCAACCTGCATTTCAGAATTACATTCAATATATCTGCAAGCTGTCAAAGTTCAGGGTAATCTTTTTATGTTTGGTTTCACATTGTAATGAAAAATCATTACCATAAAAACAGTTTGTATTGGATATTAAATGAATCATTGTTTCAAAAACATGAGTGGTAAAATCTGTTTAGAATTTGATAATCCAGACACCTTAACATTTTTTCCTCAGGTTTTGTTAGAAAACAAGTTTGAATATAATTTCTTTGTCCTTTGTGTTTGTTAGTTTACCTTTCAGCTGACACTCATGAAAGAGCTTTAACTAAACCATTTCTCTCTCCTTCAGAGCCCCAGAGCTGTCAGCTCCCAGGAAGCTCCTGTTGCCCTCAAAGAAAATGGCTCCCCTGTAAGTGTCTTTGTAATGGACAAACACCAGACAGTAGTGTGTGTGTGTGTGTGTGTGTGTGTGTGTGTGTGTGTGTGTGTGTGTGTGTGTGTGTGTGTGTGTGTGTGT